CAGGTTAGTTTCTAAATGTAGAATGGGGTATATTATTGTTGTTGTTGTTGTTGTTTTTGAGACAAGGTTTTGCTGTGTAACTGCCCTGGCTGTCCTGGACTTCACTTTGTAGACCAGGCTGGCCTCAAACTCACAGAGATTTACCTGTCTTTGCCTTCTGGATGCTGGCATTAAAGGCATACAAAAACACTAACTGGCTTATTATCATTTTTATTAAGAATATGTCTTTGCTAAGTTCAGTTTTCTGCCAAGTTCAAAGTATATTTAAACACTCTATCTGGGGGATGGAGAAGTAGCTGAGTGGGTAAAAGCGTTTGCTGCTTGTGTAGAAGACCAGAGTTTGGTACCCAACACTTACATGGGGCTACTCAGTACAGCCTCTAACTCCTGCTCTAGAAGATTTGATGCCATCTCCAGGTACCTGTGATCACCTCTCTGCATGTGCACACATGCACATAGACACACACACACTATAAATAAATAGATAATAAAATAAGTCTTTAAGTACTGTGTCTGCAGTAGAAGTTAGGGTGACCCCCATCAGTGTCCATAAAACTGGAACCACCTGCCTGTTCATTCCTTTGTTTAGTCAAACCTTTCAAAATCCAGATGCTCCTTCACTGCTGACACACTATAACCCCAACAAACCTAGTGTGAAATGAAAGATCCCTAAGCCATAATACCCCGAGTACACTAAGCCCACTTAACATCCTAGCACACAGAACATGGTAGTTCCTTCCCTCATCTCTGTGACTGTAAGGAGCTAAGCCCCACTGTGGCTTCCCAGAATCACAAGAGGCCTTCTACCACAAGTCACTAGCCCACCAAAAAGCTCAAAGTTCAAGTAGCATCTACTGAATGTACATTGCCTCAGGATCATCATAGGTAGTCATAGAATCAAATAGATTCATTCTGTCCAGACATCTATACTGAGTGCAGCTGCAACTTACAAAGTACTGCCATTTGTAACTGACTTGTTTTTCAAGGAGATGATGGAATTAGCTGCATCAATAGAATGTTGTTCTCAAGTCATTTCACTAAAAAAAAAAAAAATGCTCTTGGTTAACTCGCTCGGCAATAGCTTCATTTCTGAAAGGCTGCACCTCCCGCCCCAGTTTGTTAAGTTCTTTGTGTGGAGTCTATGTACAATGACCTTCTCCTTTGTGAGAGACCAGCAGTCACTATCAAAAGATGTCAACAGTGTATAGCCTCTCAAGCACTTGCATGTCTTAATCTTCTCCTTCTCAGCCTTGAGTGGAGGAGATAACCCAGGAAACTGCCGTTTGAAATCATATTGAACTCACTGGCTTCCATCAGAGACTTGTCAGTAGTCACAAGCATTACAGTGTCGGTTAAATCCTCAAAGAGCCTGTCCTATGCATAAGAGTGGAATGAGAGATGCAAAGAACTTTCCATTGTTTTGAGTGTCTTAAGATTGGACTGCCTGCGTCTTTGATGGCATATTTGATTTATCTTGATTTATCTCGGCGATTTAGAATTGCTTTGCAAATAAAACTTAGTTATGTCATGTTACAAATGACCTATAATGTTAGAGTACTGGCTGGACATGGTGGTGCACTGGATGGTGGCCTGTATGTATGGGTCAGCATAAATAAAGCTGAAACACAGGATCACAAGTTCAAGGACAGCCTGGAGCAAAGAGCATAGCAGAACCCCTACTTCTCCAAAAAAAATTAACTGGGGAAAATAAAGTTCTAGACCTCTCTGCCCACTAATGGAAAAACAGACAAGTAAGACTCTAAAAGAAAAGCTGAGAAGTAGCACTATGGGATGGCATTTCCCTACCATTCCCAAGGCCTGGGGTTGGTTTTAAGTACCATAAAACAAAACTAAAGTTACCTTTAATGCTAATAACTTAACGTTTAATTAATGTACCAATACCACAACATTTCTTGTTTTTGTGATAGTACACTCATGTTACCATATCAAAGAACGACATGAGTACCTAGTCTATAAGAGCATAAAATTGCATCATGAAAATTACAAAAGAGCATCCTTTTTACATTTAAAAGTAAATTGCACAGCACGTCAAAGCACCTGACTTTGGGTTGTGGGTTTTGCTGATCGACAACATCATTGAGAATGCTAATTTTTAAACAGATAATCAGCTTAGGATGAGAAGCAGAAGTTCTGCTACACCCTAGAACTCCAAACATCGGTTACTGGAAACGTTTGAACTATATTTTCTGGTCAATTAAAAGGCTTTTTGATGACCGTTTAATTTTGAGAGTGTAGCCTTTCCTCCAAAGAGCCAAACTCTAGTTTAGAAAGGAAATTCATTTTGAACTTAAGACATATTTATTCAGTGTGTCAAATGATGAAATTATAGCAATGTAATTTAAAGATCATTAAGGCCAATTAATGTCTTTTTCTTAAGATTCCAAAAATCAGACCACTGATCACTGTAACAAAGAATCGGTATTTTAATGGGCTTAGCAGACCAGTTGGTTTTTATAAACAGAGAAGGGCTGTTAAAGAAGAAAAGAAAACACAAAAGCAAAGAGCAATGACCAGTCAGTCGGAAATTACGTTTCCTGTAAGGTGAGAAGAGAAAGAGAAATGTATTGGCCAGCAGTTCCTTTCAGGTTGCTTTTCATAGGAAAGAAAGCTGTGAGTGAGACCATGATAGTTACCACCTTGATGGAAACTGGCTCCTTCAGTGAACTTGGATGAACTTCATTCTCACATGGTTGAGGATAATCCCATGGTTTTTTGCTCTGAACCCTAGGAGACACAGCTCATTTGGATCCTGGTGTAGGAGGATCCATGGTGTAACCTCCTGTAATTTCTATCTCACAGTCCCACTGGAAAGCACGTTACTGTTTCACTCAGTAAACGGAGGCTCCATTTGAACCTCAGCATTGTTTGTTCAGTCCCAGGTCCTCTGGGAAGGCATTCAGTAAATGTATCCCTAAAATAACTTTTGTTTTGTTATAATCATAAAAATAAGGGAACTCATTAATTTCCTTATAGTGTCTGTCGCTTTGCCTTAGGTTCTTTTTCATGTTAAGCTGAAAGGAAAGCTACAATAAAAACTTCTGGTGTTATTAAGAACCATTAGAAGAATCCACAAGAAAGTAGTGAAGTAGTCAATCAGAAAGAGTAAATGACGAATATTGCGTTAAAAAATACGATCACGATAAAGGCAAAATCATGATTCACTTTGAACAGTAGGAAATATTCGTAATTACTTTGAATGGCCTGCCTCATTGCAAACGTAACAGACATGTGGAGACTCATTTGAGGAAAGCCCTGATTGGTCATCAGCGTATAATTTGGAGCATGTAATTTGGTTGAAGAAAGGGCTTAGAGGAGTATCCCAAATGTTTTCTAAGCACACACAGTGGAGGTCTGTGATCATTTCAGCCAGAGCTTTTGCCCCACGTTCAGTAACTGGGTGGAAGGCAGAACTGAGAGCCGTCTAGGAGCTATTATGGTAAGCAGGAAGAATGAAGATGTGCAGACAACTGACGTGTGCGATTCAGAGTGCCACGAGACCTTGCATGGGAAGCATATTAAAGACCCTATGATCTGTCTAATGATAGTGGCTGGGGACGAGGTGACGAGACCACCATTTCACACAGAGCATCAATATGGAAGATAATACCTAAATGCAAGCCATGGCCAGAAGGATCCAGAAGCAAAGAGAGGACCCAGGGCTAGCAGGGGTCTATTTCAAGTTGGTTATGGAATCAATGGGATAAAAAAATAGATTGAGGGGAAGTAGGGTTGGGGTGGGGCGATAGCACTGAGGGTTGGACAGGGGGCTCCTGGGAAACTTAAAAATGAAGGACAGAGTGAGAGCCAGCAAGAGGATCATAGAATGCTGCTTCGCCTTAGGCGCTCTCCATCTTCTGGGTCGCAGCAGATCCCGAGCTCACTCCACTGTCAGTCCAGCTCACTCCCTGAAAAAGAGCTGCTAAGCAAAGAAACGCCCGGTTCCTTCAACGGGAATCTTGCTATGAGAGAGAGAGAGAGAAAGAGAGAGAGAGGGAGGG